TCGATAGCCCCTTACCAGCTTCCAAATCCTGGCCCGTGTGTGGAGGACGTGGTGCCGGTCCCGGCGCAGTTCCTCTTCCCGGAGCTCCAGCCGTATCCCAAAATAGAGGGGCAAGGATACGTTAGTTTTCCCCGTAAGACCAAACAGACGGATTTTGAAGAAGCGGGCAAACCTCACGTTGATCTTTGAGCCAGTCTGTGTCCCATGTGAGCTGCGCCTGCAGTACCTCTGAGGGGCACAAGTCACACCCACTCTGTTTTAATCTGTCCCTCCGCCCGTCTGTCCATCCTCCGTCGTTTACTAAGCTCATCCTCTTTCAGGCCCGGGGCTTGGCGTTCCTCGGAGGAATCAGATGGCGGCAGTGCTACTGTGAGCCCTTGGGACACGCGTGGTAGGGAGACTGTCCCTTCGGTGGGTGGCCAAGACCTGTAGCCGCTCGGGGCCTCTGCCAAGACTGAGCCCGCGGTGATCGTCCTCGCTGGATGATCAGAGCCAAACCGTAAACTAACCCTTTGGGGGCGCTGTTCCCTTTAACAATCTCAGAAAATACACAAATGTCCACAATCTCGTGTACAACATAGGGAAGTTTGGGACCTGATTAAGGAAACCATGGTTTCTCCTTTTCCCCCTTGGTGATATGACTTAAACCCAGCAGGCCCTGTCTTCACTGGGACTCTTCTGCATGTGAGCCTCGGCTGAGAGCCACTGAAGCTAGGCTTGCTGCCAGCTCACTCTCAGCAGCCGTCATCCCGACCTGGTCTTGTTCCCTGGCCTGTCTCCACTTTTCCAGTTCTGCTGGCTTCTGACCTTGGCTCTGTGTCCGATTTTCCATTCTGCCTCTGACCTTTGGACTTGGCAGTGAATCTCTCTTTCCCTAGCTTTGATCTTGGGCATTGGGCTGCATTTCCCCTAGCCCCATATCATGAGCACTCCCCCACCCTGGTCAAATACCCTCCTCCTTGGCTCACCCCATGCAACGCACCTGACCACAGCATCCCTTTCAAAGGGGAGGTTCACAGAGGAAGAAGTTTGGGCTACTGCTGAAAAGAAAGAAGCCAAGGAGCTAGTGAGATCTGTGTGAAGCTTGTCTTCACTGGAGTTGCCTGTCCCCTCTCTCCCCTTAGGGAGACATGTCAATGAGTTCTCAGAGAAACTGCTGCCTCTTATGGCCCCAGAGGGCAGGTTTTTCTACCACCCCAGAAGTGACTGAACCAGCCCTTAATTCAAAAGTAATGACTCCACTGGCTGGCCAGAGACCATTTCTCTCTAGTGAGAATTTGAACCAAGAATCTGTCGCTAGTTGGTTTTGGTTGTGGACCTACAGGTTCACATTAGGGTCAGCAAAATTTATTTCCAAGGTGAAGTTTTGGGGAGAGCAGAGGAAGCTGAATTGTGGGAAGACCATGGAACAGGCAGGCTTAGAGGAGCAGGGAAGTACTCCACACCAAAGAGATGTAGCAAGAAAGCCACTTGGGGCCTTCCCCTTCTGGCTCCCTAGAGACCTGCCGCACCGCCAGCACTCTGTACTGAGTGCTTCTGCTTCTCTCTAGGCTTGCCAGAGCTTTTTTCCCCTCCGGTTTTATTGAGATATAATTGACATATAACACTGGACAAGTTTAAGGTGTACTACATGATGATTTTCTATACATACATATTTTGTGTGATGATTACCACAGGAAGTTTAGTGCAACTCCATCAACTATTAATTTTTTTTCTGTGATGAGGGCTTTTAAGATATATTCTCTTAGCCACTTTCAAATACACAAAACTAGAACTTTGCATTTACCTGCAGAGACAAAACAACAGAAGCTTGAACAAAGCAGAAGTTCATTTCACATGTAAAAGTCCAATCAGGGTGCTGGTGTGCTGCGGGGGGCGGCAGTGAGCGCGCCCCATCTGGTCATTAAGGAGGGGCTCTGAGGCTCCTGTTTGCCGGTCGCACAGCGTGGGTTTGCGTTGTGGGAGGTGGCGAGGCTGGACAAGGTGCCTGGGGCCAGCCTCAACCCCAACTGAGAATTAAGAGGCAGGAGCTGCAGGAATTGAATATGAGTGACAGTGGCTGGTCCTGGTGGAAACTGATGTGGCTTCCCGTCACCTGCACAACCGCAGGGGCCTCCATTTCTTCTCACCCTTACTGGGGCCTCGGGGGCAGGCATTTGGCTCTCTTGCTACTACATTCCTTCTTGAAAGATTTCCTTAGTGAAAAATAGTCATTTCAGATTTTGATCATCTATGCTTCTAATGAGCCTAGAATGCTTTGCAAGCCAATTGTTTTTCTAGAAGTTGGATTTCTGGGGGCAATTATACAGAACAGCCCTGAGTCAGGCAGCTGCGGCTCCACTGCCTTGTCTGGAAAAGAAGAAAAGGGCTGGATGGGCCTCAAGACACCCTTCCCCCAACCCAAATTGCTTCCAGACATGGCCTTTGTTATTCAGTCTCTCTCCAAGGACCTTGAGATGAGAGAAACAGGCAATTCCATTCCAGAAAATTCAGAGGCAAACGAAGGCTGCAGGTGTCCCACCCAAGGCCCTGACCTGGAAGGCCCATGTTTATATAAGGAGTGAGCACAGTCCTGTCAGTCCCCAAATTAGCTGAAGGCTTTGGCTGTGACAGAAATGCCAGTCAGCACAACCCACGTGATCTGCAGGGTTTTAAGGAGCAAGTGTGTTCCCACACTGGAACAGAAACTAAAGTGGGACCAATGGTCCTTGTGGAAGCTGGGCTAACCCACTTTTCCAAGCCTCTGGGGTTTTATCCAAGCTGCTCTCTGAAGTCTGCACTGTGTCAAGGTCTTTGCTGATGCAGGGACACCACCCACCACAGGTCACACACAAAGGCCAGAGTCAGAGCACAGCTTTGAAGGTTATAGAAAACTCTAAGGAGACAAAAGAGAAGGAATAAAGGGTCCTGGGACCCAAAAAGAGAAGGCCTTGTGTCTGTAGCCACAGCTCTGGGCAACTAGACGTCCTTCCTAACCTGCCATCTGCAGGCCCCGCGGGGCTGGGGAGGGGCTGCTGCATGCGGAGGGGCCGGGGGTTGAAGGCACAGGAGCCAGGTGACGAGAGTGCCAGCAGACAGCAGTGAGAATGACAGGACTTCCCACAGGTCTTGGTTCGTGGGGATGAAACAGTGCGGTGGCCCTGGGTTTCCACCTTGGGATGGGCTGCTGTGGAGTCTGAGGAGGCGCTGAGCCTGGGGAGGCGGGGGGCGCAGGGCTGCCTGAGCTTCGGTCTGGCGGGGGCCTAGGGGCTTCCTAGGGCAAATGAGTAGGGGGCGGGCTGATGCGGGGCCGGCCCCACGGGCTCCCCCGGGGACACTGCCTGTGCAGCCCGTTGGCACTGCCAGGCCCTCCTGCTTGGCGATCCTCTGCAGACTGTGTCAACCAGCCCTGTTGTAGGTCACGCAGCATATGTTACAGTCGACTGAGCTAGGTTCTGTAATCCTTGCAATGTATGTTTAGAAGGAAATGGAAAGTGTGTCTTCTAACTGCACTTCCTTCTTGATTTAAGAACCTGGACGGGGGTCTAGCTCCGTGGCGAGCACATGCTTAGCATGCATGAGGTTCTGAATTCAGTCCCCAGGACATCCATTAACACTACAAACAACCCCCCCAAACCTGAACAGTTCTAGGACCACTTAATCTAAGAGTTGTTTTCCAAACTAAAAGAAAGGAAAAAATAAATGAAAGGAAGCAAAAACGTCCAGCTGGTGTGGCAGAACTGCGCTGCGCTCCAGTGGGCAGGGGCCCAGGCTTACTCTCTTTTGCTCTGCCGTCCCTAGGGCGACAGCACAGAGCGAGTGGCAGGTCATGACAAAATCAGGGTTGGACAGAAAGGAGAGGTGGTGAGTGGTTGTTTCAAGGAAGTCAACAGTTTCTACTTAAATGGAGGGAATGTGGGATTTGATGCCTGGTTTTGTCTTTTTAAACTGTAGGTACTGGGGCTTGAACCCAGGACCTCATATATGCTAAGCAAGCGCCCTACCATGGAACCGTTACCTCCCCCTCCTGCTGCCCCGTGGCTGGTTTTAAAACAACAGTTCTGTCATTTGCTATCTGTGTGACCTCAGGCAAGTCATCAATTTCCTTACCTGCAAAATAATTCCTACTTTGTCCAATGGTTGTAGGAGGTAGAGTTATCCTAAAAAAGAGCCTGGCACAGTGTCTGCTACACATTGACACATGCCAGAACACTCCCTGCCATTGCTCTGACTGGTTCCTGAGACTCTATTTTATTTTCTCCTCAGCCCTCCTGGGCTCTCACTCTCTCACTGCCAGGAGGACAGCCATCTCTGCCCTGATCACTGTGCAGTGACCTTTTCTAATTTTTAGCTGCTTGGCATCCATCTAATATTCCACTGAATGAAAATACTAAAATTTATGTATCCATTTTACTGTGTTTAGAACTTTGGAATTTCCCCAGTGTTGTCATATTCTGTATAATATTACTCACTACTGATACACATGTGTAGAAATTTCTTTAGGGTATAAACTAAGTGAAATTTCTAAGCCATGTGGCAGCCTTGTCCTCCTCATCTTTACTCGGTAATATCAGACGTCTTTCCAAGTGGTACATCAGGTTACCCTCCCACTGGCAGCATGTGAGAGGTTTTTGTTGCTGCACATACACACCAACCGATTCTTAAAATGTTGCCACTCTGCAGGGTGTGTAGTGGTGCCTCATTGTGGTTTTGACAAGATTTTTATTAGTTAGTTTAGTTAGTTGTAAATATCTTGTTCTCCACCTCTGTCACTTGTCTTTTCATTCTATTTATAATACCTTTAGTGAGTAAATTCTTCATTTTAATGTAGTTTTAATAATTTGTTCCCTTTTATTGCTGCCTTTCCCTTTATCATTGCTGCTTTTTGTTACTTGTTTAAAAAAATCTTCCCCTCCTTGGGGTCATGAAGAGGGTCTTCTTTACTGTCTTCTCCGAGCTGTGTGGTTTACGTTTCATGTTTCTGGGTTTAAGTCA